TGGTCAGAATCCCATAAGGATGAAGCCCAATAGCAGTTCAGTCCCCCCTACCATGCTAACGCTACCACGCTAACACTACCATGCTAACGCTACCATGCTAACACTGCCATGCTAACGTTACCACGCTAACGCTACCATGCTAACGCTCACGCTACCAGGACGTCTCCACAGATAGGGGAGTAAGCTGAGGGGGGGGGGCAACATGCAGGTGAAAGGCTGGAATATTATGAGCTAGATAATATATAATAATATTAATATTATAATAATAATAATATTATAATGAGCTAGAGCTAATGACGTCAGAAACTACCCACTCCAGAAACCTCCTGATTTATCTCCTGGATTCAGACTGAGGCGGCCCACAAAAACATGACCCAGTCATTTTTTTTCACACTTTGCCTGCTGATAGGCCCTCCACAGTCCCAAATGTACATAATCAAACGATTAAAAACTTAGTTTTGCATAAGATGTCCCCTTTTAAAGTCCAATCCCACACGAGCATTAGCATTAGCATCTGTAACCCACAGGTCTGTGTCCTAACCATTAAGTTGGTATCAGAGTAAATCCCTGTTCAACATGAGTCTGACAACTAAGTAAGTAGATAAATAACTTTAAACTTTAACACATGCTCTGATGGGCCGGGATCGTACGTACAAAAAGCATGATCGGGACCTCCCTATATAACTAGTGACTTAAAATGTATAATCTGTAATCCTAAATTGCTACCGTAAATGAGCTTGGTGTCATCTCAGACATACAAAATCAAATTCTTTATAAACCTTGTCAATTTTGATTGAAGATCACCATTTACATCCCCTCTTATTCATTGCTGTGTCTCCACGTATTTACTTTGTTCTGATCAAAATGAGTCACTGGTTCACAAGTAGTTTAAATAAAAACTAAAATCCAGCCTTCATTTTGTCAATCTAAGTTATGAATTAAGTTTAAGTGTCAGTTGTCCAGCTCAAAATACATTCATATTAAATGCACACTTGATTTAAAAACAAAAATTCTAGTCCTTAAGACCAAAGCCAGTCTGAGTCCAGTGGGACTAAGTTATGAATTAAGTTCAATTGTCAGTTTGTCCAGCACAAAATACATTCATATTGAAGGCACACTTGATTTAAAAATAATAATTCTAGTCCTTAAGACCAAAGCCAGTCTCAGTCCATTGGGACCAAGTTATGAATTAAGTTTTGTCAGTTGTCCAGCACAAAATACATTCATATTGAAGGCACACTTGATTTAAAAACAAAAATTCTAGTCCTTAAGACCAAAGCCAGTCTGAGTCCAGTGGGACTAAGTTATGAATTGTCAGTTGTCCAGCACAAAATACATTCATATTAAATGCACACTTGAATTAAATAAACTCTAGTCCTTATCAACACCAAACTGACCTGGTCTCTGCAGAAGAAAGGTCCAGGTTGGCGAAGGCAAACTTGACACATCGAGTCCTCCAAATAAGGGTCGATCTGGACCTGTAGGAGCAGAGAAGAGGTTTACTTTACAGCAGCACTATTGGGGGGGAAAAGAGCTGGAAGCTGCCTGAAGTGAACCATCACCTTCTTTGTAAACTTGGGTGTTTTAATCTCCACAAACGCGGCGCACACAGCCTTCAGGTAACTGCGCTGGTTGTTGAAGGTGACACGTCCAGAGCCTGTACAGGAGTTAAAAATAAATCCTGACCCAAACCATCCAGCAGTAGCAGGGCTGTAACAATACTAAAATGTTCAACTGGATACCGATACTCAGGAAAATACGAAGATACGACAAGGATAAAAACAAAGACCCCAAAATGTTACTGAATTTTGACCGGTTAGTGTTTTTGGTTTCAAACTGACCGATTACTGATGTTATAGTGGCCCACATTAACCCTTTAAAGCCTGATCCAAGAACAAAACATAAAATTACTTTATGGTTTGAATTCTTTATATGGCCTTTTAACAAAATATGTAAAAAGGATTTTTTTATTTTTATAATATTCATAATTTATTACTATGCGATAAGATTATTTTTTGTGTAGTCTTCTGCCCCCTGTTATCAGGTGTATCTGATTGTGTAAAATAGGATTGAGCAAAGTTTTTACCATTAAATTATGCAAAAGGTGTCAGACGCAAAACATTTAAGAAACCGTATCAAATATGATACGTTTGGTATTATAGGGTTAAGGACCCCAACCCTAACCCTTCATAATTGTGAGAAATATAAAATTTTTTGGTTAAACTTGTTTGGACTTATTGTACAAACCTATTTAACATCCACTTTAACATAATATTACGTATAGAGTTTAATGCAGTGTTTGCAAGATTAATTCAACTATTCTTAAATTAATGTCTATATTGCCATAAAGCAATTAGGATTTTCTTGCCTGGGATCTTCCTATTGGTGACCTAATCAAAATGGCCAACTTGGATGTGGGGGAGTTGGATATCCATCCTTGACTTTATCAATGTTGGCGTGTTATTAGCCATTAGCTTCAGCTAGAAATTCAAGGCTAACGTCACGTTAATGATCATACATAAACATCGTAAATAAAAATGAAAATGAGTATCGTATCCAACGTCTTAGTATTGAGACTTTTGAGTATTGATAAAATAAATAAATCAGAGAGAAGGGGGGGGTTATCCATACTTTTGAAAACGAGTATCGTATCTGGATCCAACATCTTAGTATCGAGACTTTTGAGTATTGATAAAATAAATAAATCAGAGAGAGGGGGGGTGGTTCTCCATATTTTTGAAAATGAGTATCGTATCCAGATACGTTTTAGTATTGACACTTTTGAGTATTGATAAAATAAATAAATCAGAGAGAGGGGGGGTGGTTCTCCATACTTTTGAAAACGAGTATCGTATCCAGATCCAACGTCTTAGTATTGAGACTTTTGAGTATTGATACTTTAACATGTTTATAATCATAAACAACGTAAATAAATAAATCAGAGGTGGGGGGGTATCGATACTTTTGAAAATGAGTATCGTATCCGGATACAACGTTTTATTATCGAGACTTTTGAGTATTGATAAAATAAATAAATCAGAGAGGGGGGGGTATCAATACTTTTGAAAATGAGTATCGTATCCGGATACGTTTTAGTATTGATACTTTAACGTGTTTATAATCATAAACAACGTAAATAAATAAATCAGAGAGAAGGGGGGGGTATCCATACTTTTGAAAATGAGTATCGTATCCGGATACGTTTTAGTATTGAGACTTTAACGTGTTTATAATCATAAACGTAAATAAATAAATCAGAGAGAAAGGGGGGGGTATCGATACTTTTGAAAATGAGTATCGTATCAGGATACG